CTCCTTTCCGGTCCCGGCTCGGCAGCAGAGTGCGCGCCCCGGCCGCGCTCGTGCCCGGGCCCCCGTCCTGGGCTCGTCGTGTTCTGGTTCCGGACGCGGAGCGGAGCGCACCCGGCGCCCGGCGCCCTCCTCCAGGTTCAAACCAAGCGAAGCCGCACTGTTGTCTCCGGAGCGGCGCGGGGAGCGAGCTGCAGACCGAGAGCTGCGGCCTCGGCCCGGCTGGCTTCCGCAGACCCGGCCCTGCTCTCCGGGGGCCGAGACCCGAGCGCGAAGGGCATCGCCGTAACAGCGCGCACAGATCCACGCGGGAACGCGCACCGCGGGGCACGCTAACTTCAGTTAAAAACCCGGTAACATCTTCCCGTCTCAGGATGGCAGCGCACGCAGGATGTTGTGATAGGTAGTTTCACTTTTGAAAAAGTTCTTCCGTTTGGTAGGAAATTTCTGTGTTTGTGAACAAGCTTAATGCTAAGGAAGGAGAATTCTAGTGTTTCGTAGCCCTCCATTCTCTCGTATCTTGGGAATCAGGTGAAAGTAATATTAAATATGTATTTGTATATATGCGTGTGCACGCATATGCGCACACATATTACTACAGATGAATAATAGTTTTCGAATTCTAGCGTATTTGGCCTAACCATGCCCTTTGTGTCCACTGAGCAGCCCAATTCACTTGACAGACAGGCTGATTGCACAGTGCAGTTCTTTGTCTTCCTTTCAGGAGGTAGCGTCTCTCTGTTTTGGGCAGCGATGGGGTGTTTTCTAAGAATTATTTCATGCCAGATCACTTGCATAACACGCCAGCAGCGTATAGTGTTCAGGCAATTTCGTCATGCTTTTTTAAGCATTTAGAATTAACTGCGATCTCCACATTTCTGTTTTCCAAAGAAACACACATATGCAAGTCCTGGATTTAGAATTTTCACGGGACAGTGTTAACCAAACAGGTACAAGTGAGTTCCCTCTTGTGTAGGGTTCATTCCTGTTTTGTTCCCTGGATCTGTGGAGAGGAGACCCTGGTGTTGGAGAACTGTAGGCTCCTCCAAAGATTTTCTTGGCTCTGTGGGTTTGTGACTGTGATCCTGGGAAGGGACTGTTTAACGAGGAGAAATCCACTATGGGAGAAAAGATTTTCTGAGAAGGTTTCTCATTTCTCTGCACATGATAAGGAGGTAATGCTGTCCCTTTCTACCTTAGGTTCCGAGGACCATGGACGGCTTTTCTGGGAAGGGACTGTAGTGTCATACACTTACTACACCTCTCAGATATCAGGAAGGTACGGGGTGCTGAGATTTACACACATGTGGAGGATAACAGTAAACACTCAAAATTCCCAAGTAGAATTACGTTATAAAGTGCCTTCCGGCTACTTGTCTTTCCATTTTAGACTCCTGGATAAAGCTGTGCTGTTGCCCGGTGTATTTCCTACAACGGGCCAGCCACGTCAACGGGAACGAAGATGGTACCATGCACTGAGAATCTGCCCTGTTCTGCGCTGCGGGCTGAGTACTTTACCTGTAGTATTTCATGTAGCATTAACAACAGTCCTCTGAGGTAGGTATTTTAATTTACAGATGAGCAAACTGAGGCTCAGAGAGGTGAAATAAATTGCCCATGACCCTATGGTTATACAAAAGATGATTTAGGAATCTCTGTAAGACTGTGTGACTCCAAAAACGGAGTTCTAAATCTTTGTTAACAGCCGCTTGATATCAGAGAACTCGGTTTTCATTTACTCTGTCCAATCAGAGCAGTAGCTTTTGGTTCCCAGTTGTGTTTCAACGTGATTATTCTCCCCCTTCTTCTTTTTCTCTTTCTCCTTCTTCTCTTCCTCTCTCCTCCTCCTCCTCCATTTGCTATAGCTTTAAAATATGAGGAAACACAATTTATTTCCATAACAAGAGATGATTGTTTAGCACTCAGTTTTTAAAGCCCAACTTATGTGTGTTCTCATTAATCCTGCAAGACAGTGTGTAGAAAGGATGGTCCCTAGAATACCAGCACCACCTGTATGATTTCCTGGTGTGCAGTTTAAAATGCAGATTCTAGATTGCCCTGTGGGTTAGAATGAGATTTTGGGCAGCCAGGTCGGCCTCAGGAAATGGCCTTTTTAATTACAAAAAAACTTTTAAAAAAGTGTATTCTACAAATAAAAAACTTCAATAGTAAGAAATCTATTCATATTTTTTTATTTAAATTTTTTTTTATTAGTACATACTTGCTATACATAGTGCTTAGGTTCACTATTGGAAATTTGTAGCTGTGCAGAATATATCTTAAATTTTCTTTCTTCCTATTCCCCTCCCCTCTTTCAATCCTCTTCCCCTTCTCACTTACAGAAGTTTGTTTCTATTTTTTCCTTCCATTCTTTGTTTTTTTAAATCTCTTTTCTTTTCCTTCCCTTGCCCCTCCCTGTTTGCTCTTCCTACTTCCCAGTATTCTCCAATTTGCTCCTTGTTTATTTACCCTTAGGATTTCTTACACAAGAGAAACAATGTGATATTTAAACTTGTGTGTCTTATTTATTTCACTTAAAATTATGGTTGCCAGGTGCACCCATTTTTCTATAAATGACTCAGGTTTATTCTTTATGGCAGGGTAGTACTCCATTGTATATAAATACCACATTTTCTCTACCCAATCATTTGCTGATGGGCATATGGGCTGTTTTTAAGATTTAGCTATTATAAATTGTGCATATATTGCTGGGATATGATGCTTTTAACGCTTTCATGAAGATGCCTGGGAGGGGAACAGCTGGGTCAAATGGAACCTCTAGTTTTAGTTTTTTTTATTTCCATAGTGATTGTACCAGTTTACACTCTAACAGTGGAGAAGGGTTCCTTTTACCCACAGCCTTGCCAGCATTTGTTATTCGTTGATATTTTGTTGATAGTTGTTTTTTCTGGAGTGAGATGTAATCTCAGTATT